CTGCACCAGTGTGCACCAATGCTTGCTCTCCAGCCTGAATGGACAGAGAAACAGCCTATGAGCGCATGGGATCAGTCACACTATGAACAACCAGTTGGACACACATTATGAAGTTCCACAAACCACAAGATTTCAGCAGCTCTTGCCTCAAGAGATCCAGCTTCCTAAACTCATGGTTAAGCTATGCTAGAAATCAAACCAAAGATGTTTGTATGTCATGGAAGCTTTCCTCTTGAGGGGTAGGGAGATTTTAGGCCAGCATAACCTGAAGAGAAGTGTTGATACAACTCCAAGCAAGAGTGCTCTGTGCAGTTGAAATGCTGACTAGGTGATGTTCATTATAAACATTTCACCCTTGAAAAGGGAAAACAGACTTGAGCAATACCTTGTTGTTGCAAGGTCAGATGCTCAGGACCTGCAACTGCAGACTGTAGTATGGAGCAGCTTATTCCTGCTCTTTAGTCCTCCACACACTCCCTCACTAGGGAACACAGGGACACAGACAAGGGAGCTCATCAGACTAGATCAGTAAATACTGACAGCCTAGTTTCATAAGCAGATTTATATATGCTATGTTTTATAAGCCACAGATTCAGTAAATAAAAGACTATCAATCCAAGGCAGACAGGCCAAAAGTAGCATCAGCTTCCACTATGCCATTCCCTTTCAGAGAGCATCAACCAGTTCACCCCCCATCTGCAGAATCTGTACCCTGATTCCAAAGGCATACAGAGGCCTCCCCACTTGCTCCACAGCCATCTGGTTCATAAAGGCAAGCCCATGCCAGGAAGGACAGAAAAGCAGACTGAAGCTCTTAGTACTTCATAGAGCCCAACACATGATGAACTACTGTGACTCTGCTCCTCATATCCCTACTGCAAGGATGAGCTAAAGGAAGAAAGACCCACTCTCAGTCATTTCTAACATCAGAAAAACAAGCCTATATTGGAGCCCAACATTCAGCCTATGTGCAAGATCAGTAATCACTGCATGTGTTTGAAACCATTCATCTTGAGTTGTCTAGATTAGCAAAGCTGTAGGGGAAGGAAAGTATTCACTGGAGAGGAAGGGAGTACTACAGGAAAAGAGGGGTTTCTCCATCAAGATCCTTCCTACATAGTTTCTGAGCCATCCAGAAGGTACTGAACTGTAGATAACAGGTGCCACCAGTGTCCTATCCATAGGGACAAACCAAAGCCTCAGGTGCAAAACCAAGCCTCAGCTCACAAAACTAGCAGCCTTTCAATTGAAAGGTCATCTACTGTTGCTCTCCACCACCTTTGTTCCCCTTTGCTGGTGCTTTCAAAAGCCTCACTGGAACTCCCACCCAACCACGTGCTTTTTCCCAGGCTTGAGCTTTCTGGTGTCTCTTCTATTCCCTGCTCTTCACCCATGTACCACCATACAGCATTCCCTCTGCATGGTAAACCTTCCTATCAGGCACAGCAGTGAGCTGAGACTTGGCACCCCATTCACTGGGACTCCAACATAATTTTTACCTCCCCCTTCCAGCTCCTGAATGGATGCCAAAGGGAACACTCGTTTTGGCAGTCCAAGTCTCCCAGATGAAGAGTTACAGCCAAAGTGCTGGGGGTGGGACCAAGGCAGCCTATTAAAAAGTTGATTATAATAAGAATTTGGGGAGCTACTTCCAAATATGCTTACCCTCCCGGACCTAGGGCCCTCGGGGGTGGAGTGGAATCCCTAACTCAGCATTTTCAGCTTCTTTACTGGGTTTGGAGCCAGGGTGGGTGGAAAATCCTGTCTGCACCCTGCCTGGCATAACCATGGGTTTCCAGAAGAGTGGCAGAGCTATTGTCTTCTTCCTTTTTCCTCTAGAAAGCCTGTTGTGCTCATGCTTCCATAGTCCCCTCTGCCTCATCAGAAAAGACCTAGAATTTGAAAGCTTCTACCTTGGACTAAAAGGGTCAATATCAGCAATTTTCCTGTGGAAAATCCAGAGGTACTCCAAGCAGCAACACTGATAAGATGCCACAAGAGCCTTCTCCCCACCAGCTTCTCTGGAGCACACTGGACTGTTGAGGAAGATGAACTCCATGAATAGCCAGGGAGGAAAACTTTGAGATATCTGAGAGCATAAAGAGGACAAAAGGCTGGACTGAGGTTGTGATTTCAGGAGGCAGTCAGTTTGCTATACCTGTTAAAGCATGCTTCCTCCTGCCAGGTGTCAGCCCACAAACCCTTTTTAAGACCCCTTTAAAAGGGTAGGGGTGAGGCTAGCATGCATGGTGGTGAATGGAGAGGCCAGAGGCAGCAACAAGTAGTATATACATAGTCCATCATAACTATCCCTGCTTCTCCAGTCTTTCCAACTAATCCAAACTGTCCTTGCATGCCTCTCATCAGCAGACCTCCCATTCCAGCCCCATCCCTCAGCCAGAGTCAACCAGAGGCTAAATGCAGCCCCTTGTGACCTGCACTGACAAGTCACTAACAAGCAGGTCAATATCTGTATGGAAACTTGGCAATATTATACTCAAAGATGTTCCAAAGTTCCCTAATTCCCCAAGTAACTCCTTTGCTTATATCAAGACAGAGAGAGAATGAACTGTCCCTTTGAGGGGAGGCACCTGGCTACTGATCAGACCTACAGTTTTACCTTTACATTAGTAAAGATGGAAAGATGCACAGGCTTCAAAACACGCATCAATTTACTTAATCCTCGCCTGTGAGAAGCTAAAGGAAAAAGCAACACCAGTTTACCATTACTACACCCACTTGATGAGACCCTCCTGCAGCACAAGACACTGAAGCATCTGTTTGCTGCATGGTGTGGATTCAATATGCCAAATGAAATTTCAGTCAGCTTGCCAACAAATGAGAGGCTATTAATTTCCACATGTCTGATTTCACCCTGGATCTTACAACTTTTCACTGCCCTCACATCACCCAAGCCATGTGCAGACCTTGCTGCAAAGAGAAGTGGAGAGAACACTCTAACACATATGCTATTACATATTTAGGCCCTGGTTCTCGAGCAAATTCTTTGCTTTCGATGGCAAGCCAGGCATGCAGATGCAGAGCATCTTCATTCCTCTAAACACAAACCACAATCTACCACCAAACAACCAGCAAATTCTCTCAAACCAAACCTGCAGTGTTGTATATATATAGATATATATACATACACATATATATATGTGTGCGTGTGTATATACATACATATATGCATACATGTACTGAACTTCCTGTGCAGCATTCACTTATAAGAACTGCCCTGGCACACCTCAAGGCACAAAGCTGTGGCACAGAGGAACTCTGGTAGTTATCTCTCCATGTCCATAGTTTTAAAGGTTATGCTGGAACCGTCACTTATCACAGAGGAATTTTTAACTTAATGTTTAATAAATCAAAGGTTTCACAAGAAAACCAACAGAGATCAGTCCATTATTTTAAACCCTGAAGGTGACCTTTCATTAAGTCAATGGGAACACTCCCGTTACAGAAGAGGGACTCTTCATATTTTACAGAGAAGGAAAATACAGCAGGGTCCACACCTAATTCACCCAAAAAGCTTTGAGTTCTTCCATTAAGCCACAAACAACATTCAGGAATCAACTCCCAGCCTTGAGCTTCAACCACTAAATCTGCTTCAAAGCAATTCCATTACTAAGCTAGTGGCTGCAGGAGACCATTCCTACATCCAATTAAACCAGCAGACACTAATCTCTCCATCTGCAACAGATACACATGCCATAGGGGTCTGGACAGGATAAACAGAACAGCCGTTTAAGTGCACATACAGTCTGGGGAATCGTCTTCAGTGCTCAGTGGCACAGGAACCAAGAGATTTCTAGACACAGGAACTAAGCAGATTGAGACATTTGTCCTTTCTTGTAGCTTTGCTGAGGGAAGCATTAACCCCAGCAGGAAGGTGGAAGCAAGCATGCATCATACCTACAGACATTGCACAAAGATTCCCAGATACAGCTGACCCAGCAAACCAATCCATACCTACAGCAAAAAGGGCATCACACTACAAAACCAAACCAGAAAGAGAGCTGCCAAAAAAAAAAAAAGCACCTATGTATGCCTCAGTACTCATTAAAAGTATTATTCCTAAATGCCTGAAGTGTTGGGAGATTTTGGTTGTATCAAGGCAACTGCTTCAGCGGGGCTAAATGCTATTTCCCTCAAGCCAACACAAAACTGAAGAGCTTAGGAAAAATAAGAGTCCCCAGTGACTGGAAGCAGCTTTCAAATCCCCCAGTGTGGCTAAGCCCTTGAGGGCAGCCTGTCACAGCAACAGGCTTCAGAGCACGAACATCTGAACGCAAGCATTTCAACCAGCTGCAAAAGGCACACACAAGATCCAAACAACAGTGCTTGATCCAACCCAAAGGATGTTTATCCTAGTCAGGTCTAGTGGAAAGTGTCCCTGCCCGTGGCAGGGGTTTGGAACTAGATGAGCTTTAAGGTCCCTTCCAACCTAAACCATTCTATAAGCTCCTCTTGGATGCACAGGGCAGTGAGGACAAATGGATGTTTTCACCAGCATCACGGTTACTGAATGCTTTCTCACTCAGGACCACTTCTTCCTTCAGCCCCTGCCACATAGGCTGGCCTGCTGTCAGGCTGCTAGAGGACTGATGCTCTGCATGGCCCGAAGGGCTGCTTTCAAAGCAGTGCCAGGCCTGTAGAGTCAAAGAGCTACACAAGGAGACCTCTCCCCTCCAACAGGGAGATAAGAAGCCCAGAGAAAGATCTGAAAGATCTCATCAGGCTTAGCCCATTGACCAGCCTAAAGTTATGTCGACTGTTCTTTTACAGACATGCACAGGACTCCTGAAGCAAGAACATCCCCTCCCTACTCACAGAGGGGAAGAGAGGCTCAGTTTGGTAACTTTGGAGAGGCTCTAGGACTGCTCTGGGGAAGATTCAGAAACCAGCAATATCACGTGTTCAAAAGCACTTGATGCTTCACGCTACAGCACAGCCACACTTATACACACCACTGCACTTCAAGGGCTTGTACCTACCTCAAGTGCCCCAAGCTGTAGTATCGTGACTCCCCATCCGTTGACCGGACCACCTTGACAGCGAACATGGGCTGCAGCTGCCGTAGCTCCAGCAGCACAATGGCCAGGTAATGAATGAAGAGCAGAGCATCCACCAGCGACACGGCGTACTGCACTATGCCCTGGTAGTTGGTGTCTTTCGAGTCCAAGATGCGAACGCCGTAAAAGAGCCAGTAGGAAAACACAAAAAGGAAGATGAGGACCAACAGAAGGGCCCGAAACACAAACACCCTGGGGATATCTGCCTTAGGCTGGCGGAAAAACAGAGCCCAGGTCCCAATCAGGAGAATGAGGAGTTTAAACGCCACAGAGATGAACAGTCCCTCACAGACAGTACCACACGGCTCCAGATCATCCCGCCACAGGATCTGGGGTAACAGAATGAAGGCGATGGGGGTAAGGAAGACAAGGAGTCCGAGAACAGCTGCCACTGTTAAGCCCAGGTAACGTTTGCAGTCCAACCCAACGCTGTCCTCCAGATCCTTACTGATCCGGGCAATGTCCTCCTGGGAAATACTGTGCTCAGAGGTGCCTGTGATTGCTGTTGTGGTCTCACCCCAGTTGTCATCCTGAGGGACGAAGAGATAAAGAAAAATCGTACTGAAACAATTAGGTTATTCCTTCCAGGTCTTCCATTTCTCTTGCCTGGAAACAGACTCGAGTCCCAGACAAACACAGCAAAAGCAACACCTTCAATATACTCAATAATCAACCATGAAAATGAACAAAGCTTTGGAAACAACAGCAACTTGTCCAAACCAGTGACTATACGCATTAGGTGTTTAAAAGCCTGTAAGTGTAGAGCAGGTAGCTCAGCTTGCTATGCCACTCACTGTACCCCAGAGGTACCTCTTCCAGCACATTTAACCAGTAATAACCACGTAACTCTTGGAAACTGGAGTAATCATCAGTTCCCATGTGCAGGGCAAGGACTAGCACTGTTCCAGCCCACAAATTCCATGGTGCAAGTACACCACAGAAGCACCTGGAAGGGAAATCATCATTTTAGTTGTTGTTGCACAATCAAAAACATGTCCACACATTATTTTCTCATCCGTAACAGAAGCAAGTTCCTCCACTTTGTTTTCTTTTACTATCCTCTATGGTTGTGCTGCCCTCAATAATTGCTGCCATTCTAATAGAAGTTGAATTAAAACAACAAATAGTGGTCACAGAGGATATTTTCAGGTATGGGGCTTTAAATGTAGAAGATCCTAGACTACCAATGATATTAGTGTCCATTACACTGTCAGAAGCCACTCTGCCACAAAGCAGCTTACTTGAAATGCAATCACCATATAGTCAAGCTTCAGATTACATTATGTTTTTCAAAAGCCTCATTTCTTTCCTAGCTAGTACCAGAGCCAGTTCTCCCATCCCACAATACCTCCAATTGCTTCTTCCTGGTGCTGGCATGGCCAAAGAGTTACACTGACATGTATGGATTTGACTCAGAGCTGCTGCTGGAGTGACTCATGAACGTGAAGTCTCCTGATGGTTCCCACAAATACACACCAAACAGCAGCAATACATGCACTTTGTTGCTTGGCACCTTTGCAGCTGCAAATACTCATTCAGAAGCAGGTGTTTTACTCCTTCTCCTACCCTTCTGTGTCCATCTTACTGCAGTGTATCATTAATAGGATTTACACCTTCCCCAGACTTCTGCAGCTAAACGTACTGATGGAACTTGTTATAAAGAAAGAGGCATTATTTTAAACTTTTATTCACTTCTTTAAAAGCATTAGAGGAAAGAGTCTTCAAGTATCTTTGGGAAAGGAGTTGACAGAGGCAGCACAACTACTCTGAACAACTCCAGGGATTTAACTTCTAATGCACTCCAAGACATGAATACCTCCCATGCCTAGAGCAGTAGGGTTTTCAGACAGACCAACCACAAGCAGTCCACATCTTGAATTAATGAGGGGTTTTTCTGAGTCCCTTCTCACCAAAACAGAGGCCCCAGAAGAGAGATGTGCATTGTAGTATGTCCTGAAAGGCAGCATATTCCTATCACATTTCCCTCTTCACCAGTGTCTCCAGTAAAGCAACCTAAGCATTTCAACTGTTTCATGTTTATGCATGAAATAGCTCTGCATAGTTTCCTCCATTTGATGAGCTGAGAAACTGTGCAGAAGAGAGAAGGGACAGAAACACCACAGCAGCTTAAGGCTATAGCTCAGAAGACAACAGGCAACTTTCACCCTCAGCTCTTCCTACTTGAAGTGCCAAAAGCAAAACAAATATGCAGTTGTATGGAAATAAGAGTCTAAATCTGCAGGGGGACAAAGTTGTTGGACCCAGTCCAGGACACCTTGCTCCTCAGTAGAAAAGTCTTGCTCATGCATCAACTTATTTTGCTTTGGCTTTAATTCACATTGAGGAGGTCTGCATGAAAACAAGGGCTTAAGAATTCACCAGTGCCTTTAGATCTATTTGAAGCAATAGCCAGGACTCATTAAAACAACCATTTGATTACAGATAAATGGCAGTACATGAAGTGAGCCCACCTGAGCTACACAAATAGTGTTACAAGTACTACCATACACAGTTTGGAAACTGGGCATCAGTTACTCTGGGTGTATTTGAAAGGGCAGAAGTGGAGCTCCACAGCCAAGTATTACACAACCCAAATCCAGCCCAGGAGGCACTGAAACATCTTTCATCCTATGTGATCTTTTGAAAACGAACATGCACCTTCACATCAATTGCTACAGCAGAAAGAATACCAGATCTATCCCAGGTGCAATCCAAACCTAGCATTATTCCATTCTTTATTTAACCATTTTAGACTGACTTCACCCTCCTTCACAGCTATTTTGTATTAGTTTTACATTTCTTGCTTTCTTTCCCTACTGGGATCGTGATCATAACATGCTTTACATGATTACCTACAGCAAATCCTGCTTAAAACCCCCCATATACAGGTAAAAGGGTTGATCTGAATAATGCACAGTGAGATGATGGAAAGAGGTATTTCTACAGAGCTTGGCAGATGACACGCTGGAGACAGAGGCAAATTGGTGCCACAGGAATAGCCGTATCAGCTCTAGTGCTGTCAAAAATAATGCTCTCAGAAAAAAGAGATCATGGCTTTATGCATGAATCAACGGCATCCACAAGTAGTGATTTAGTAACAGCATGCAAGCAACTCTTTTCCTACTCATGTGCCAGTAAGTCACATGCTCTGTTCCAGAAGCCACACTCTACATTTGAGTTTACTCCCTCCTTACCTGGCCCTCCTCTGCCCGAGAGGCGTCGTTCCCAAGCAGTGGCTCTGCAGGAGGTGTCTGGATGGTGACGGACTTCTCAGAGCGGCTCCCATCTTTGCTCCGTGGCGATTTGTGCCTGTCCCGGCTCCTTTTCCAAACACAGCAAGAGGAGAACAAAGTTACCACATACCCTCTCTGTGACTGGAGAGGGAAGCAGAGGCGGCAGGATACATCCCCATCACCTCATCTCCTCTTAAAACAGCTTCCACTATTGCTGTGCTTGAAAGGGAAGCTTGCATCCTCCAAGCAACTCCAGATTAACTGCTCTACACAGCTCTCCATCACCAATAAAGTGTCATCTCAGAGGGCTGTACACAATTAATACAAGGAACTAATAGCAACAGCTTTCATTCCTGCAACACAGTCTCGTCAATTAGGATCTTAACATTGGAGGACAACCGGTGAGGTTTATCTCCACTGGTTAATAACCTTCAGTTAACATTATACAAAGCAAGAACATTCAAGGGTACCAGAGTACACCTGTAGACCTCATGGCTTCTCCTTTGAGATTGGTGGGATTTAACTCATCTTGACACAACCTGCCCACTAACATTTTCCTCTGATTTTTATGTTGTATCTCTACACATGGCATGCTAAGCTTCAAAGGGCAATCCATGGGGGTAGGGGTGTTAAAGAAGGGAAAAAGGCGAACAAGAGATGTTTTACTCAACAGCTGGACTGCAAGCGGAGACTTCATCTCATGGAAGAAGTCTTCTTCCAACCACACAAAGTAATTGCCTCTGAAATGCAAAGTTCGCCTTTGGATGAAGTTCTAAGTTGCAAAGTGGCACACATTTTGCACATAAAACTAATGATGATGCAAGAAAAAAAGAAGGAATAATGTTTCCAAGTAACCAGAAGTTTCAGAGCAAAATGCTTTTGAGGCTGCTGACCTACCACAGAGAGGACCTGTTATGCAAGTTCACAAAAGCCCAACTTCTAATCCAATCAGTGCTGATAAAGCACTTGTTGCGGACTCAAGTACCACTCAAATTCTATTAAAACACCCCAACACATCCACACAGATCAGCCAGAAAGACTGTGAAGAGAGATAGGAAACCTTATTATTACACAGGAAAGAAATGGCATTGGGAGAGAAAACAACTGGCAGTTACAGTTTAGGAGTCTGACATGTCTTCTCTCCAGAGACTCCTCATCCCTCATGCTTCAGGAGTGGACTTAAATGATCTTTTCCTTTTGCTGGTGCTATCCCAACTTTTATGGCCATTCATGGCTCCAACATGCATCCAACCAATTGATGATCATTAAATCAGCAGCATTATTGCTTCCAGTCTCCATACTGGTTTCCTTATGAGAACTCTCCATATGTATCTCCTCCAGAGCTGTGGCCTCACTGATTTCATCCTGGCTTACAATTTTTTTCCATGGGAAATGTCCTAGCTTAAAGCAGTAATTATAAATGAACATTTTCTTACCCTTGTCTGTGGGCTTTTTTGGAGTGACCTGAGTAGTGGGAGTATCCCGAATATGTCGATTCTGTATCCATTGCAGCAGACATGGGGTCTACACAAAGGGGCACAGATTTTTCCTTAGAAGATGAATTCCTGGTGCTCCTGAGGCAGAGTCCGTGGTAAAAGTGCTTTCCTGGGTACTCTTGGCTTCCCAGTCATCAGTGAGGTCTGGTCCTCAGAGTGAGTGAGCTTCACTTACAAGGAAACCAATCAGAAGGCATGGGAGGAGGGTGCTCAGCTCCTCATGATTGACCTAAGGAAAGGGAAACATGGAAGTGCACTCTAAGCAAAGCAAGACATCATTCCTGCTGCATCAATTCCCTCAACCTGCCACAAGCCACCACTCATCACACTGTGCCCAGTTCACAAGCTTGTCCTGGTTTATCATAGAATAGTGAGGGTTGGAAAGGATCTTAAGATCATCTAGTTCCAGCCCCCCTGCTATCTCTCTTTCCAGCCAAGTGAAATATATGGATTTGTAGAGCTTTAAATAAACTGACTGCTTTGCAAAGTCTAGCCTATTCATCTAAAAACCCATTAGAAATATCATAACCATCTGAAAAAGTGACTTGGAGAAGACCTAGCATCCTACATACGGAAATTCACCCCCAGGAAATGCACAGGGCTAGACTTCCACACTCCCATCTCTTCACCCGTGTAACACACAACCCAAATACCCCCAGATTCAGAACAGCAGCATTCCAGCCTATATACAGCAGGAAGGCATGGGGGTGAGGGTGACTTTCCTAGGAAAAATGCACGAGAGGATCAGACCACCGTGCCTGAACCTGCTTTGTTTTCACAACTGCAAGGTGTGCCCATTTTTTGCAAGCATACAATCGATGGTACCATGAGCACCTCCCTTTCTTTGCAACCTTTGCCTCCAGAAGCTAATCTGGGCCCTGGAGAATTGAATTTTATTAGGAATTGTATCTATATATACACATACTAAGAACACTGGGGAGAGCTGATTAGAGATCACATCTAGCTTATATGGGCCAACACTTCTTACATTGTAGTTCCATTTGGAACAGAAGCTTATGTCCCATTGATAAAGGGCAGAATAGGGTCATGTTTTTTGGAACAGAAGCAGTGCAACACCAGAACAATTCCTAATAGTAACATGTCAAAAATCTCTGACCCCTGTGGGGAAGAAAGGGAGACATCATTCCACTTTCCAAACCCACATCCTAAGTTAGGTGAGAAGAGAAATGGAAAGGAAGGGAGTTAGTTACTGCTTTGGGGAAACACATGCAAATGGTGAAGAGGGAGGGGTAGCAGCTATGGACCAGGTACCTTGGCACAGCCCAGTGTTTGGCATGCAGGAGCCCTCTCACATGCCTCCTGCCCAGCCCACACAGGACTACAGCCATGCCATACACTCAGAGCAGGCAAAAGACTGCCTGAAAAACCGAACTAGATTCCCTGCATTGTCTTCTGTACACAGCAGTTTTAAAAGCTGTTAGCAACAGAACAGTCAAACACTGCTTTCAGCCCTCTCCCTCCCCAAGCGCAGAGGGACAGCAACAGAAATCAGGCTTTATACTTGGCTGACTATTCTTTCCAGCCATAGATTCCTCCACTAACACCTCCAGAAAAGCCTGTAACTGAGCAAGCTGTGCCAAGGAACGAAGCCTTTTCCCCACAGGGTTCCTTGGCTGGCAGTGCAACCTGCAAACCAAGAAGTGTTCATGCTGTATTGGGAGCTGCAGGTATTTACACAACACTTGGGCTTGCCAGGGCTTTTGGAAAGGAGAAGGCAGGAGGGACCTTCCGCATACAGGGATACCCAAGCTCTAAACACGTATCTTGCCTCAAGAAAGCTCTTTAAAGGCAGCAGAGAATACAGGACAAATAAGGACAGGAACAGGGAGGGGGAGAATGAGGGTGGATTTAAACAAAGCAAGACATAAAGCCAAGGTACAGCACAGCTTGGAAAATGGCATCATTCCTGTAACAGGAATAAACCTTCCCCAGCCTGGGACACATGATGTTAACACTTGTTAAACTCTCCAGACTTGCACACAGCCTGGAACTTATGGCTCCAGCAATAGGCTGGGACTCACTAAAGCTGCCTTTTACTTCTGTCCTGCTATGCGACCACAGGAAAACCCTTCCTCTGCGTCTGTCCTTCTCCAATAAATGGAGGTAAGGCCACACCATCACTCCCCATTCAAAAACCACTGATACCACCAGAGAAGATGGCTACACAACCTTGCAATCATTAGGCATTTATAAACCAGAAACACCCTGTTGAACAAAAGGTGGTAACAAGTATTAAAGGCTTAAATCAGTGACTGTGATGTTACTGGAGTCCCTTTGAGAACAAGCCACTGTCTTCACAAGTACGTACCACCACATTACAGGAACAGGAAAAGCAAGGATTGCTGCCAGCATACATATATCAGGAAGGGTTATGTATTTTTACTGGGCTTCTAGGAAAGTACCAACTCTCAGCCTTCTCCTGTAACCACATGAAAGAATTTCTCCCCAGCTCTCAGATAGAAGAATCAGGGGCTGGGTACAGAGCTCCTCTTCCTGACCCCTCTAACCAGCATAGGGTTAGAGCACATTCCAGCAGGTAGAGGCTCCTGTGGAAACAGCCTAGACAGGAACCATGGACAAGCAGTACCCATTTGAAGGTGGATGAAGCCAGGCAGTGCTGGACACCAGGCGGAGAAAGCAAACTCCAGCACTGGAATGTCAGGGCAGGCTGGATCACGCCAACTTTCATTTTCCGTGTAAAAAAGAGCAGCGGCTTTGACACAGCTCTGTGAAAAGTCAACAAGGCAGCCCTAAAAAACATTGAGTATCCTGTGTTGTTGCACCACTGCCTTGCCCCAGCTGCAAGATAACACAGATATTCCTGCCAAGACAGTTCCAGGGCTGCTTGCAATACAATACTTCTGTCCAGCTTCAAGTGGAAACAGCAGAAAACCACTCATTGGTGCCTAACTGAGGCTGATTGTCAACAAAGCTTCCTAGAACTGGCCAGCAAAGGATAGCATGGGCTAGACACCACTCCCAGTATGAATAGAATGAGATGATGAGACCAAGGAGGGAGGAGCACAGTCCAAACACACACTCCTCATAGCCAAGCCAAGCAGATTACCTACCTCCAGGTCTATTTTACAACAGGAAGGAGACTAGCTTTACCCCAGAAAAGCTTCTGGAACTGCTGGGGAAAAGGTAGGGAGGAGACCAAGAGACAACTAACATGCTAGGCTACACCTCTGACTTGCAGTTCTTTCAATGGCATAGGCAGAAGTCAATGCTGGATTGGCCACCACCCCAACAGTGCCCATCACTGGAGCCTGAGCAAAGCTAGAGAAAACAAGCTGTACAGATATGGTGTTATGAAGGATACACAGACTAAGCACAGTCTTTAAATATCTCCAGTACTACATCACTTCTAGTGATAATTCTTACTCTTTCCTCTAAAGCAAGGGCAACTGTGCTGGGTAAAGAAAAAGCCCCATCATTTGGGACCTCATCCCTCCACAAACAAGTGTGACTAGACAGCTCAAGTTAGCCAGTTGAAACAGCTTCACAAAAGATCATTACATCTCTCAGGACACCACCTGAAGGCACGGTCTGTTGCAGAGCTTCTGGCCCTGTGTGAAAGGAAGCTGCTTAAGCCCGAGGGTACAGTTGCACCATATTGCAGCACTGGAGTAAGTAGCTTCCACCTCCACAGCACGGTTCACCACCCTCGGTTGTGTCAACACAATTCAAAAGCAAGCAAACAGCACTGCTGGAAAACAGAACACAACAAAACATCCCTTGGCTCCCCCTCGCCACGCTTTTGTCTTGCAGCCTTTCTGTGACCTAGTTCACAGCACAGACCCAAACAGCAAATCCAACCCCAGGGTGAAGAGCAGTGCAACTAACAGCCAGAGGGGAGATGGGAATGCCTCCTCCACTCCAACCACCACCATTGTGTAACTGCACACCCAGCACACTGCTCCCAGTAGGCTGGCACTCTCACTCTGCCTTTCCCTTACTCACCAGTGATGGAAGGATGCTAGATGGAAAACAATGCTAAGGATGCCCCAAAGGAAATTTCTGGGACCTTACTCTGGAAGAGGGAATGGCTGCATCCTGCAAAGCAGTGGGGAAATGCCCCTCAATAACACACAGATCACTGTAATTAGTTTCTCCACAGCTCATTGTAACTCCCCCTTTTCATATGCTCATAAATCTCCAAAAAGACTTCTTTTGAATCGCTATTTTCCATGCTGGGAGCCCAATCCCATTTCCAATGAAGTTCGCTTTGTGATCGTCTTCAAGAGAGCACACTTTGGCTCCCAGCCCAAGGGAAATTTAAAAGACCAAGTTACATCTTTAAATGAAAGAGGGCAAACACAAACGAGCACTCTTTTACATCCCATGCTTTCTTAATGGCTTTTCCCCTGTGAAGTTGAGGCAAATAACTGCAAAGCAGCTCAGCTTTGAAATCTCTACAGCTTCAGTCTTACTTTGTTTAAAACTTGCTCTGATTTAAAGTCCATTTACCAGTTGGCTCATGAAGTTATATTGGAAGTGCCATCTGGAGCACAAGCAGCCACAAGTTTCTGCAAGGATGTCCTCAGCTCCATATGCCATCAGCCTCGTTTCTTTCTTTAGCAAAAAGAAGAGCTTTACAAATTAAACATGCAGAACCCCAAGGGCCAAGCTATGGGATAGAATCATAGGATCAGCTTGGTTGGAAAAGACAGTTAAGACCATCAAGTCCAACCGTTCCCCAGCACTGCCAAGGTCACCACTAACCCCTGGCGCTGGGAGCCTTGTCTACACAGTGTATTAACGCTTCCAGGATGGTGACTCCAGCACTGCCCTGGGCAGCCTGTTCCAATACCTGAGCACCCTTTGGGGAAGGAATTGTTCCTCATCTCCATCTAAACCTCTCCTGGCACACTGTGAGGCCATTTCCTCTTGTTCTATCACTTGTTCCCTGGGAGAAGAGACCAACCCAACCTCACTCCATCCTCCTGTCAGGTAACTGTAGAGAGCGATAAGGTCCCCCTGCAGCCTTCTTTTCTCCAGACTAAACCCCCAGGTCCCTCAGCTGTTCCCCATCACAAATGTTCTCTAAACCCTTCACCAGCTCTGTTGCCCTTCTCTGGCCCTGCTCCAGCACTCAATGCCTCTCTTGTAGTGCCAGGCCCAGAACTAAACACAAGTCTCAAGGTGCAGCCTCACCAGTGCTCAGCACAGGGGGACCATCACTGCTCTGGCTCTGCTGGCTATACTATTTCTGATACAGGCCAGGATGCTGGTGGCTTCTTGGCTTCCAGGGAGCAAGCTGCCCATGTTCAGCTCCATTAATCAGCACCCCCAGCTCCTATTCCATGAGCAGCTTTCCAGTCACTCAAGCCTGGAGCATGGCATGAGGCTGTTGTGGCCCAAGAACAGAACCCAGCACTTTGCCTTGTTGAACCTCATATTATTAAATAGCATTAGGGTCCAAGAGTAAAACTAACTAAAGAATCCCTAAGCAGTGAGGAAACCTTCCAACTCTGGCATTAACTTGCCTGCAGTGTATTCCTATTATTCACTTCAGAAAAACAATGAATTACACAACTTGCCATGTTCAACTGCGGGTATAGTAAAACCTATGAGCAATGCCACAGGAACCTCTTGCTTTTGAATTTCCTGAGCAGGATCCAGTCCAGCAATTTGATCTGTAAGCACCTAAGATCACCCTCTATTCACAGAGCCAAGGCTTTCAGTTTTAACAGCCAACGAGCTTTAGGAAACAAGGTTTTTCCTAAAGCTTTCTATTTCTATTTGCATGTCACTAAATAGGCTAGTTTTGGCCTTCAATCTATCTCTATCAGCCAGGTCTTTCACTTTACAGCAGTGGATATTGATTTGCAAACCCCTCATCCTGAAAGAATGCTCAGTAGTCTGTAAATTCAAGCCTCTAGCATGAGGTTCCCTTCCCTTTTGCTTCTCAGAGGCTTCTTAGCTTTGTAGGTCCTCAGGATTTCCAGCCTCTAGGTTGAAAACTATTAGTCCATGATTTGGATATTTCAAAAGGAAAAGTCACTTGGTTTTTGAAGCAATCTGTTTAATCAGAACATGCAACAACACAGATCTGACAACTGCAGGGCTGTTTCAGTTGACAGCAGAAATAAATGCCCAGCCAAAACCACCACCCAAGCAAATGGTGTTTCTAAGCAGCAAGCCCCAGCCCCTTTTCTCCCTGTCACACAGCTAGAAGTTGGGAAGTTCTTTGTGTGGCACCCATAGGTGAAGCACCTCTCTGGAGGATGGCCCTGCCCGCTCCAAGAACCACATCTGCACCACCCAAGTTTCTGAAGCACAACCAGCACTCAAGCCTATCATGTAAATCACACCTCAGCTGCCATTCTGTCTGACTGATGAAAGCCTGTGCTTCCTCCGTTGCGCATCTCAAGCTGCGCCAGGGGAGGTTCAGACTGGAGATCAGGAACAATTCCTTCCCCAAAGGGTATTCGGGCATTGGAACAGGCTGCCCAGGGCAGTGCTGGAGTCACTGTCACTATGGTTCACACACCATATAAAGGAGGCCCTCAGTGCCATGGGTTAGTGGTGGCCTTGGCAGTGCTGGGGAACAGTTGGACTTGATGGTCTTAGAGGTGTTTTCCAACCTGGCTGATTCTGATTCTCTCTCTCCTGTGTTGCTAGACCTTCTTAACCCCAGAGCCATGCAACATGGCAGAAGGGCTTCATCCTCATGACACTAGATCATCTGGGACTGTGCACAGGAACAGTTTTCCATACTGACATTCAAAGCCCTACAGCCTTTCTGAAACAAACAGGGGAAAGACTCTCGCAAGTCTCTTCAGACTCTGCCTATCCAAGCCGGTAGTACCTGTACCTTACTGTCAAAGTTTACTTTTAGCCGTAGCACTGAGATAGCATTAAAGGCTATAAACTGCAGAAGGTTTCTCTACTGGCAGTGCAGCCCCTCCTTTAAGATACTTCCCTTTCTCCTGCATTTTCCATTTGAATATAAAAGGAAGAAAGTTTACAGAACCTGTCCAAACCCCCAGTACAACACAGGGGGAGTCTCCCTATCTCCCTCACCCTGTGGAACCCTGCATAAAGCCAATGCCAGGCTGACCTTGCGAGGGGCCAGGGCAAGGGTGCTGACCCCTGAGAAAGTAACCACTGGTTTTAATTTGTCCCAAATAAGTCATTCTGAGATAAAGGCAGTTTTGCAGGGACAACTGCTGTTATCTGGGTAGCACTTCCCGGTACAGCATCCCAGCATCCCAGCCTCCCAATGGCAGCAAACCCTCCCTACATGCACAAATCCATAAGGGCCCCCAAGAACACTGCCACTACTAACCACAACCAGTGACTACGGGCAGTTAGACACTTGCCTGGGTGGTTCTGACACAGGTTGGGGTCGTTCCAAAGTTTCAGCTCATTCTTAAGGGAGGCTTTTTGCAAGGCTGATATTCACATTTATTTCTGAGCAAGTGAAAGGATCACAGAGCCAACACTGGTGCCACATGTAGCCAAACCCCAGCAGGGGAAAAGAACCGAGCATGGTCAAAATGAAGCCGTTCAGAGACGGCAAAGCACTGCTGAAGCTCTCTCCTCTGCAGCTCTTCACCTCAAAGTCAGGATGCCCAGTGATGGGCTCACAGGCAACGATATCACAAAATACACCCCACAACATCCTAACCTGCTCTTCCAGCCAGTGCAGCTCGAGTTCTGAACTCTTTATAGCTACAAAGACCTTGTGGGCAGTTTGTTAATGACAAACCTGGGGCAAAAAAACCCACTGCTTCAAACGATCAGAGTAATCGCTAAGTCTGCCCTCCCCAGACCAAAACCCCTGCCATCAAGTCACTTACGCTTCCACAGACCATGCGACTCTGTGAAAGAGTTCAGCCCTGGCATGAAAGTTATTTTACAACCCTGAGTCTTCTAAACCAGCAAACACCGTTTCACAGCGGCTGTCCAAAGCATGCCGCTAATGGAACAGAACAGCTAAAGCAATAGCTTTGCCCTCTGTTGGGCGCACTCAGAAGCGTTCAGGTACACAATCCAGGCCAGCACTGCCAAGGTGCAGAGACTCTCGGTCAGATTTATCCATGTCAGCTTCCCAGAGCCTAACTTACTCACTCTGTACTGTGAGCCGGGGACTTGGGCATCACTTCAGCGACCCAACCACCTTCTAAACAGAGAAGAATCTCTTCCCTCCGCCTGGTCGCTTCTGTACCCTTTTGCTGACCAGGGGGGTGAACCCAGGCATAAAGCAGCTTGGTTTATATGGCCTGGGCACACGAGCCATCAGCAGAGCCTTCACATCAGCCTGAATTACATCCATGCTGGCACATTAAGAGCACAGCGGTTCCTCCAAAGCCGAGGCTTGGCGGAGCAAGCGCTGCCCTTCCTGAGGGACTACACCTACGGCACTGAAGCCAGCCGAGATCTCCCACCGGAGCCGGGACCCGCCGTCCCAGCAGCCACCCCGCGGAGCCCTGGCCGGCAGCAGGGAGGCCCGGAGGTGGCCGCCTTCCCCCTCCACCCAACGGGCTCCCCCCGCAGCCGGCATCACCGGAGCCCTCAGGGACCACGGGGCTCCGCCGGCCGCGGGAGCCGAACCTGCTGCTCCACCGCCAAACCGGGCACCCCGGGGCACAGCGGCGGCGGGCGGTGGCAGGCAACGGCCCCGCACATACATACATACATACATACATACATACATACATACGGACGGACGGACGGACTCACCTCCCTCCCGCGGCCGCCCCATGCCGCTCCCGGCGCCGCCCCGCCGATGCCGCACCGCTCCCCACCACCTTCCCCCGGCGGCAGCCGCCGTCGCTACTGCTCCTGCCGCCGCTTTCCGCTTCCTGTGCCCGGTACCGCCCCTCCCCGCCCCGGCCCGGCCCTCCCCCGCCGCAGCCACCGCCTCCCGGCGAGGCTTCTCTGCTCCAGCAGCGACCGCCCTCCCGCGGGGATCCCCAGCCCCGCGCTGCCGCGTCTGGCGGTGCCGCTGCTGCCCGTCCGCCCCCGGGCCCCGGAAGGGAAGCACGGAGTCAGCTCGGTTCGGTTGGACCTTTAAGATCATCCAGTCCAACCGTTCTTCAGCACTGCCAAGGTCACCGCTAACGCCTGGCACTGAGGGCCTCGTCTACACGGGGTGTGAACACTTGCAGGGATGGTGACTCCAGCACTGCCCTGGGCAGCCTGTTCCAGTGCCTGAGCACCCGTTGGGGAAGGAATTGCGCCTCATTTCCAGTCTAACCCTCCCCTGGCGCAGCTTGAGGCCGTTCCCTCTTGTCCCATCACTTGTTCCTTGAGAGAAGAGACCGACCCCACCTCACTCCATCCTCCTGTCAGGCAGCTGTAGAGAGCGATAAGGTCCCCCTGGAGCTTTCTCTTCTCCAGACCAAAGGCCCTCAGCCGTTCCCCATCACACATGCTCTCTAAACCCTTCACCAGCTCTGTTGCCCTTCTCTGGCCCTGCTCCAGCACCTCAATGCCTCTCTTGTAGTTACAGGCCCAGAACTGAACACAGGATTCGAGGTGCAGCCTCACTGGTGCTCAGCACAGGGGGACCATCACTGCCCTGACCCTGCTGGTTATGCTACTGCTGATACAGGCCAGGATGCTGGTGGCTTCTTGGCTGCCTGGGCACAAGCTGCCCATGTTCAGCTCCATTAATCAGCACCCTCAGGTCCTTTCCCATGAACAGCTTTCCAGCCACTCTTCCCCAGATGTGGAGCGTTGTAGCCAGCAATGCTACATCACTTCCAGCTACAATGCTGGCATCTCCCAGCCGGCCCTTTCTGCAGCCATACCTAGTGGGGACTCACATCTGGGCCTGTTGCTCACCCCTTTGAGGCCCGATTTAACCCTTTGAACCTCTCACTGAAGTTCTGCCTTCTTCACATCTCAGCTTGCAAAGCCTGCCCTGGGCACCTAGTTCATTACACCCATGCTCTGGGTAGCTAGGAAGGGAACAGGCAGAGTTCTGCATGCCATGCAAGTCACCTTTCCTCTATTCAAATGTTGCTCCTTTTTCACTTCACCTTTAGGTTGTCTTACCCTTTAAAAATAGTTAAGATTTCAATGAACCAGCACCTGGGAATGCATGAAGAAAATCTAGACCTCCTAGATTCCACTCCTGTGCTTTGAGCTCCTGAAGAACCATCCAACAAAGAATAAATGCAGAAGATGCTGAAGTTATTCCTATCCTATTCTGTGTTGCATTATTGTGGCTTCTGTAGATTGGATCTTTTATTTTTGCCCTTCAGTTTGTCCTCATTCCCTTTTTCCAGACTAATGCCAGGGTTTTATTTGTGGTGCTTGCTCCCTACTCAGCATCCACACAACATGGAATGACTTTCCAATGGAACAGTTATCCAGGAACTCAAAGAAGCATTTCCCTATCAGTCCAGTTTGGTAGTTACACTACCTCCTGTTTCACACGTACATGCTTACCCAACCCTGGAAGAGGCTGATATCAAGTGATAGGCTCCATTTTGTTTTATGCATCAACATGTGTCTAAACTTGCCCAAGGCCTGGGTACTCTGCTGCATTCCAGGCACTGGCCCTGCCCTGGAAAGCATCTGACAGCCTGCTGAAAGCCTCCCTCTCAGCCTCGCTGGCTGCTGGTGCCTCCCATGGCTCAGCTATCACAACAGGGTTTGCTTCTTCCCTGCTCAGATGTGGGAAAATGCAACTAGAGGCAACAGGGTAGAGTTTATGCAGTCCATGCATCTGGTGCAGGGGAGAGATTGAGTGCATGGAGCAAGGTTTTACCTGTGCCACATGGGGAAGAGGACAAGGGGAGATCCTGCCCTGCCTGAAAGGCTATGGAAACTTGGAGTTAACAAGGGAAAAGGGAAAACTGGACTTCCTTGAAGGCATCCAAAAAACTCTGTTCAGTCTGTATTTCTTCTCCTACTATGCTACCCCAACTGCTGCTCAAGAAGATTTAGAGGATTTCTAAATACTAGTTTCATGGTCTAGAGCAGCAGGACTTGTTTCAACACCCCACGTAAAGGAGATTGCTGAGATCTAAGCTAAGGACTTACACAAACCTCAGACAGGACCAGCACCTACGCCCTGTCCAGACCTAGCCGGTATAGATACCTGCCAGCCGCAGCAGTGAGGCCCACTTGCACCCAACTAGGTCAAGCTGTTACATAGAGTATCAGCAAAGGAGGAATACACTGAAGATGGGCTGTTACATGCTTATCTCTCATCATTTGTTTAAACCATTGAGATATGAGGAAACATTTGCCATGAATTTGGCATGGCTTCTCACAAACGCAATACCATCTGAACAGAGCCAAGACGGGTGGATGGTCAAGTCCAGCATGGAAAGCACAAACTGACTCATTCATGCAGGGAATTCAAAATGATATAGAGCCCTGCTTTCTAGAGGAAATACTCAAACATGATTCTACTAATCCTGCTACTGCATTCCTCAGGTTTGTGTTTTTCATGCTGAAAAGCAAGAGTTGGACAGAAAACCAGGGAGAGATGGACTTTGTGGTCACAGTTGTATGGAACAGAAGTTATCTTGGATCTACTTAGAAGAGGTACTTCTGGAATGTGGGCATTATCCCTTCTTATAACAAGTCCTCTAGGATTTGTGTCTTACATTTTGATTTGCTGATCACAGTGCATGATCAATGTACTATCCAGTCAAATGAGCTAAAGAAAGGCCTATGTTCTCTTTTCTAGGATCCTATAGGGTAAAGTGATGTAAGTTATCACACAATTTGATGTATAAGTTACCCTTTGAAGTTATTTCTTTGCTTAAAAGCTTTATACATTCACTTATTCTTAAATAAATCCATTTACTTATCCTTATATTTTTCTAAAGATCATTTCTGTGGGCCAGATTCTGCCTTGTTTGGAGACACATACATACACACATACTTTTGTTAAGATATAAAGTTGAATTTGCTGTAGATTTTCTCCATCACCTAGGAAACCAGTCTACTTTCTTCCCCCAACACGTAGACTCCACCTTTCCCAACACCCAGTGACATATCCTGATAATTTTTGTCTGTGACATGTACATAAACCCTGATTTCCCCAGGATTTCTCTTTCCTGAGTAGCATGAAAAGATCCTCCTTAAGTTACAGGCCACAGAGATTCCTCACCAAACACAGTTTGTCTGTACAATGCTTTGAGAATCAGAGGCAGTGCTTTGTCGAGTAAGAGCCAGCACAAGTAAAACATCATTCTCAATTACTGCCCACTGTTAGATGGCATCAGCTGGAGCCTCCAGTGCAGGGTGTAAAGTTTTCCACTGAGACTGGATGCCACTTCATAGGTGCTACCTGAGGAAATTGCTTGTACATCCAATGTGAACTCTCTGTGATCTTGCTCTGTGCCACTGACCTCAATCTAGCATCACACATCTTGAGCTTAAGTAAACAGGCAGTGACAGATATGCACAAGGAGCCACGTTTCAGCTCTTCTGCTGCAGAAATCTTTGTTTAGAGGAAGAGAAAGGCCAGAGGGACACGAGTACAAAAGAACACCTTCCTTCCCTTTTGGGGTGGTTGCTATTTAGAAAGGGAAAATGCGTAGTACTGCACAGCTGAAGAAACAGCATGACATTTATTTTGCATAGCAGCTTGCATAAAAGCTACTAAGCCCTTTATGGAATCACTTATCCAAAATACGTGATTTCTGCCCAAATAAAGATAAATGGCGGTGGGTAGCAAACACTAGAAAAACTTCACTTGGCTGAGATGCTGCAAAACCTAGTTCAGGATTCACTTGAAATCTCACTTCCATTTCAAAGCAGGTAGAATCATAGAATGGTTTGGGTTGAAAAGGACCTTACTATCATCCAGTTCCAACCCCCTGCCATGGGCAGGGATGCCTCACTCTGAGACCAGGTTGCTCCAATCCCTGTCCAACCTGGCCTTGAACACTGCCAGGAATGGGGCAGCCACAGCTTCTCTGGGCACCCTGTGCCAGCGCCTCAGCACCCTCACAGGGAAGAACTTCTTCCTTATAGCCAACCTGAACTTCCCCTATTTCAGTTTGAACCTATTACCCCTTGTCCTATCATTACAGTCCCTGATGAAGAGTCCCTCTCCAGCATGCTTGTATCTCCCTTCAGATACTGGAAAGCTTTTCTTTGGATTCAGCAGATATAAAGAATATTGCTTAAAAACCCCAAAGCAACAAAAGCTCCACAGACCAGAAGTATGTCCTAGGCAGATTGAAAGGGGAAAAATAAGGTAGATTTCGTCTGTGCAGGTGAAGAGGACTAGAGAGGGGGAAAAGAACATCTTGTGTCTGACTTGCCCCTAAGTCAGAGGGCTACAACCTATTGCATACCATGAACTTTCCTTTGTGCATACCAGAAACCCTGCAGCCACCTGCGGATCTTAGAGGTTTGTCATATCCTCCTCTCCTTTATAACTCTATTCACAGAGTGGGGGTCACAGCACAGAGGCAGAGCCCCATCTTCTAGAAACAAAGGAAAGGATGAGGCCTCAAATAGGAATACCTGGCAATAGTCGTGGCAGACTGTTTCAATCTGTTCTGGGGGACTCAACCACAAAAGAAATCCTGGCCATGTGTAATTGCATGGTGGCCAGAGAAGCCGTAGGTGGGCTGGGATTTGGCCATAGCTGAGGAACAAGAACACACTGGAGCACTTGGGAATGAAACCCTTTTAAAGAAGGGCAATAAATATACAGGAAAAGAATAAGTAGAGGAACAGAGCCTTGTGTCTGCAGAGTGAAATTCCGTGTTCTGTCAAGCTGGCAAAGAGAAAAGCATAATTGGTGGTTTAATTCTGGCAAAGGGGGTGCGTTTTTCCAGGTTGGAGATCACTGCCCTCCTCTCCGA